AGCATCAGCCTGCCTCAGCCTCAGCCTCAGCCTCAGCCTCAGCCTCAGCCTCAGCCTCAGCCTCAGTCTGCCTTCAGCCTCGGCCTCAGCCTCAGCCTGCCTCAGCCTCAGCCTGCCTCAGCCTCAGCCTCAGCCTGCCTCAGCCTCAGCCTCAGCCTCAGCCTGCCTCAGCCTCAGCCTCAGCCTGCCTCAGCTTCAGTCTCAGTCTGCCTCCAGCCTCGGCCTCAGCCTCAGCCTGCCTCAGCCTCAGCCTGCCTCAGCCTCAGCATCAGCCTGCCTGAGCATTCAAAATGTGGCCCGGGAATGGAGTTCTGGGAACTCGAAGAACACGAAGTGGCCTACAGTTGGCTCCGGGCATTCAAAATCATGCCCAGGAATGGAATTCTGGGAACTCGAAGACCACGAAGTGGCCTACAGTTGGCTCCGGGCATTCAAAATCATGCCCAGGAATGGAGTTCTAGGAAGTCGAAGACCACGAAGTGCGTTACTGTTGGCTAAAAAAAAAAGTCACTGGCATCCTCCCCCGGATCGCGCCCAGACCCCCCTGGGGCGTCAAGATGCTCTCTTTTGACCCTACTAGAAACCTATCAGTCTTCTCTGTTAGGTAAAAATCCACTCAAGTTTCTTTCTCTTCCTCCTTGAGATTCCCTTAGGGTTCCTTCCAGACTGGACCGGACCGGGCCCGGGGCCACTGACCCCCGTCTCTTAGGCCCCGATGAGAGAGCCCTGGCCATCGCTCGGACGTCCATTCCCTGTGTTTTTTTCGGCTTCGTGCGTGGCTTTTTCGCCAAATGATCAAGGATGCGCCGAAGGAAAAATGCACACGTCCGAGCGATGCCAAGAGCCTCGCTCCTCCCTCCGGCGCGGGCTCCGCTCGGACCTCCTGGGGCCCCTCTGGACTCCTCCTCGCCCCGTGGCCCGGAGCCCCCTCTTCCTCCGCCTCCTGACTCTGGGGTCCCCGGAGTGCCTCGGAGGCCCCATCATTCTGCGACTGTCGATGGCTTGCGCTGCTGTCCGGTCTTCAAGTTCAAGATTCGTGCCATCAGGTCCTGGCAGGAGAGAATCGACACGCAGGATTACCTTGGATTTTGTGCGTCTCTCGCGGAGCTCGTTCAGGAGAGGTCACGACCTAAGGTATGATGAACACTTGGAACAGCTCACGATCTACCTGGTGTGCCATCGGTGTGGGTCTTTGAAGCAGGGTAAGTCCGTGGCCTGCAAGGACGATGCAACTCTTGCCCTTCCCACAACGGAGCTAAACTACAGCTCCAGCGTGCACGTTCGGGCCGACACCCTGAGAGTGCTGTCGGCAGCCCGATCGTGTTCAGTTTGCCGCCCATCGGACTCGCGCAACTGGTGGCAGAGATCCACAGTGAGCAAGCAGCGGCGGCCAGGTAGCCGATCCTCCTGTGTCGGGAGGCAGGGTGCTCTCTTGTCGCCGCGATGGGGCAATCGTGGCGGAGAGACCGTTGGCCTGGAGCCTAAGGTTTTCGGGTGAGGGTCGGGTCGGTCAACCCTTAGCCTTCCGCATCAGCCAAATGATGGTCCTCATCCTACTAACTCGTCCTCCTCCTTCAACCTTCTCGAACCACCTCCTTCATCGCTCTCCTCGGACGCTCCGGCCTGCGCCTTCTCTGGGAGAAGGGCATCGGGAACGGTATACAGAGAAATAACGCGGGGGTGAGCGAAAAAATAAGAACGCCGATTCCGCTACGGGCCCGTCACAGCAGGTCATGGTGCAGCACCCTGCCTCCTGAGCATGTGCAGCTGGTTGATCTCGTCTGAGGCCGGTCTTTCACTGACACCCTTACCCGTGCACCCGCCCATGCTCTCACTCCTCTCTTCCCTTGCCCTCCCCCCGCCCTCCCTTTTTTTCTCTCCCACGTGGGACCCTCGTACCAGTCCGGGAGGGTTTGCACCAAGATGTCGAGGCGGATCCAACCGTTGCGACGACACTCACCCCCATGGAAGCAAGCGCGAGACACAGAACATCCCCGGGTCTTCCCCCCCGAACCCAGATTACTGGTTCACCCCCCCCCCTGGCCACTCGTCTTCGTACCTTCTCGCCGCAAGATGCGCGATCCATCTTCGCTCCCCCCTTGGGATCCGACGTTGCGAACAAATTACCACATGGCGCATCAACGAGCCTTGAACTGTACACCCTACCTCCCTGCGGTTTTTTGCAAGCCGGGCCGACCTGCGATGGCCCTGCGGCCCGCCACCGGGCCAAAACACCCGGCATGAACACATTGCAGCGCCCACACCTCAGGGCATGGCGCGACCTTCCTGGGACGTGCAAATATTCTGTCCGGGCCCCACCGCAAACAGAGACGCGATGATGCAGTAAGAGCTCGGCCACAAAAAACCTTCCACAGGAAACCCAACCCTGAGACCCCAAGACGTCCATGGATTTTGAATGTGGGAACGTCACTTTTTTACCAAAACCATCGAAACACAAGAAACCCAGGCCACCCTGGAGGCAAGCAGGGGGTGTCTTGGCATGGGTGAGGGTGACGGTGCCCGCAAGAGTGTCCGCGCGAGGGAGCAAAACGGAGCGGGGCCGGAGCGCCCGACAAAAATAGCAACTACTGCGTGCTGTTGGCAAGGGTCGCGACTGTCAGGCCCACTCGTGATTCACAAAAGAATGTTCGAACTCATTCCGCAATGGCATTGTGGCCACGTCGATCCACTCATTTGTCCCGGCGGCACTTCCCGATACCATCTCCGCATGCTTGCGTATATCATCCGCGGGGGGTCCAGAGCCCCATCATTGAGCATCTAAGAGGACCTTCTTGCGTTCCGTGTCGCACTTCTTGCTTCGAAGCTGCTCTCGACGATGGCGAGCTTAGCGTACTCGTTGAGTAAACCGGGGGTTTTGAAGCCTGTCATCCCTGCACCGGCGGGCTTCGCGCGCGGTTTCTGCAAACTGGGGGTCTCGAGCCCTATCTTCCCTATGCCGGCGAGCTAGCTGGAAGTGTCCATCGCGCTTTGGGCTTGAGGTCGTAGTCGTCGTCCGTCTTCTCCGCGTCGTCCTTCTCGCCCATCTGCCCCGTTGCCATGCGATCGTTTCCCGGCTCCGCCCTCTCGTTTGGCGAGTCTCTGACGGCTTCGCTGACCGCGTCCACGCGATTGACGTCATCGGCTTCTGGTTTCGGTGGCCTCGTCGAGCGCCGCGTCAAAATCAAGCTTGACGCATGTCTGGTCTTGTTGTAACTGTTGTGGACTATGCTCTTGCTTTGGGCTCCTTTACAGATCTGGCTGGGTGAGATGCGCATTCTCGTGCTCCTTCCGATTTGCTGGCGATTGCCTTTCGAGCGCTCGGTCTGGGATGGACATTTCCAGCAACTTCGAATCCAGGGCGCCGAAGCTGTCCAAGGCAGCACGAAATAATCTTTTTTTTCAATCCTCCCCACGCGGGCGTCGAGCTTAACCGTGCCATCCTCGTCGACTACGCAGTGGGAAATGCCCGATTGGTGTAATTCTTAGGAAGATGGACAGGACCTAATCGACTTCATGCTTCCAATGGCGGCCTCTATTTGCTCAACATTCTGGCGTAGAGCGAACGGCACGTCTGTGATCTTCTTCAAGCGGCCATCCACCGATGCCTCTTTGCGTCTTCTGCGAGATGCCGCTGCTGTCTCGAAGGCCGCGTCCTCTGCCCCAGTCGCGGGCGCGCCGCGGGTTGCCGCGGCCGCCGCGGGCTCGCCCCGGACGAGAGCCCCCCTTGCCTTGAGCCACTGCATATGCGACACCTGCAGGTGGCCCACCTCTCGGTCCCACGAGCCACGGCCAGTCAGCGCCGCTCGTGGTCGTTCGTCGTTGTCGCCGTCGGTCGCCGAGACCGTCTCGGCGGCCGCGGCGCCCCTAGTGGCCGTCTCGACGGGGTCGCAGGATCGCGCCGCGTCGCGGACGCATCGGCGATACATCGGCAACGTCGGCGCGGGCAAGCGCGGGCTCCGCATCGAGCCGAGTCGCCGATGCATCGGTGATGCGACGCGATCGTCCGACCCCAGCCACTCGGGCCCCATCTAGGAAGCCTAGACACTCATACTGCACATCGAAGAGTAGGCTTCAACCGCCGGGGCCGCATCAACCAAGTCGCCGAAGCGGCGACAGCGCGGAAATCAGGCGCGCGGTGCCACCGAAAGGGTCAGCTGCAGAGAGAGAGAGAGAGAGAGAGAGAGAGAGAGAGAGAGAGAGAGAGAGAGAGAGAGAGAGAGAAAGAGAGAGAGAGCCTGGAGTATCGCGAGGCCTGACCTACCCTAATCCTCCTCCACTCTGAAGCCCAGGCTTGAACGGTGCTGCGTCAGACGCAGGAGCTGCATTTGAGGTTCGAGATCGAGCGTGCGCTGGCAGCTTAAGTTGCCCTTGCATGTGCATCTTTTGGAACGGCGGAATGATATCGGATAGGAACTCGAATCTTTCGCATCGGGCATGGCAGAGCTCGATAGCTATTACCAGAGCTGAAGTTACGAGACAAGCTAATGCAACAATGTCAAACGCACCAAATCAGCCGTCGCCTGGGCTTGGCTAAGTTGTCGAGCTGAGCCGAGCCAATCAACGCATCTGGATCTGCACATGCAGCAACTCACGTGGAGACGACGAGTGCATGCCGCGACTTCGTCGGCCCTGGTTTAGGGCGCCAAGTGAACCTCTCAACCTGAGCAACCCTCTCGCTCGGAGATTCTCAGGAGCTTGAAACCCCGTCTTCGCGGCCTTTCGCGGGGACAGCGCAATCGAAGACCGCCCGAACTGGCGGCGAGAGCAAAACCGACCGACAACCGCCCGAACTGGCAACGAACACGAAACCAACCGAAACCGAGTCCACCGGAACCAGCCGAGTATGAAACAACTACGCGGCCGACCGAGCGGAACCCACCGGGCGCTCGCGGTCGTTCGTCGTCGCCGTCGGTCACCGAGACCGTCTCGGTCGGCGGTGGCAGCGCCCCTAGAGGCTTTCTTGATGGGGTCGCAGGGTCGCGCCGCGTCGCCGATGCATCGGCAATGCATCGGCGCGGGAAAACCCCGGGCTCCGCGTCGAGCCGCATCGCCGATGCATCGGCGATGCGACGCGATCGCCCAACCCCATCTACCCGGACACCATCTAGGAGGCCTAGACATTTCATACTGCACATCGACAGGCAAGTTTCAGCCGCCACGGCTGCACCAACCGAGTCGCCGAATTACCGGCAGCACGGAAAGCAGGCGCGCGACCCTCCGACCCTCCGACCCCATGACCCTTTCTAGGAACCCTAGACACTCATACTGCACATCGAACAGCAGGCCTCAGCAGCCTGGGCCGCACCAGCCAAAGCGCCCAAGCGGCGGCAGCGCGGAAGGCAGACGCGCGGTGCCACCGAAAGGGTCAGCTGCAGAGAGAGCCTGGAGTATCGCGAGGCCTGACCTACCCTGCTTCTCCTCCACTCTGAAGCCCAGGCTTGAACAGTACTGCGTCATATGCAGGAGCTGCATGCGAGGGTCGAGATCGAGCGCGCGCTTGCAGCTTAAATTGCTCTTGCGAGTGGATCTTTTTAAACGGCAACAGAAGCTAATGCGAACACCAATGTCAAACAGGCCAAATCAGCTGTGGCTTGGGCTTGGCTAGGTTGCCAAGCTGAGCGCGACCAATCAACGCATCTGGATCTGCATGTGCAGCGACAATTCTCGCGGATACGACGAACGCACGACGTCGTCGGCCCTGGTTTGGGGCGCCAAGAGAACCTCTCCGCCTGAGCAATCCTCTCGCTCGGAGATGCCCAAAAGCTTGGAGCCCCGTCTTCTGTGCGGATTTCCTGCCGCGGGTCTTCCCGCGGCCTCTCGCGGCGATAGCGCAATCGAAAACTACCCGAACTGGCAGCGAAAGCAAAACCGACCGACAACCGCCCCAACTGGCAACAAACATGAAGCCGACCGAAACCGAATCCACTGCAACCACCGAGCATGACACAACGACGCGGCAACGACGCAACAGCCTACCGAGCAGAACCCGCCGAACGCACGTGGTCGTTCGTCCTCGTCGCCGTCGGTCGCATGGACCGTTTCGGCGGTGGCAGCGCTCCTAGAGAGCATCTTGATGAGGAAGCCATCTTGATGGGGTCGCAGGATCGCGCCGCGTCGCCGATGCATCGGCGATGCATCGGCAACGTCGGCGCGGGGAAACGCGGGCTCCGCGTCGAGCCGCATCGTCGACGCATCGGGGATGCGACGCGATCGCCCGACCCCATCTACTCGGGCCCCATCTAGGAGGCCGAGACAATCATACTGCACAACGAAAAGCAAGCTTCAGCCGCCGGGGCCGCACCAACCAAGTCGCCGAATCGCCAGTGGCATGGAAAGCAGGCACGCGGTACCACCGAAAGGGTCAGCTGCAGAGAGAGCCTGGAGTATCGAGAGGCCTGACCTACCCTGCTCCTCCTCCACTCTGAAGCCCAGGCTTGAACAGTGCTGCGTCAGACACAGGAGCTGCATAAGAGGCTCGAGATCGAGCGTGCGCTGGCAACTTAAGTTGCCCTTGCATGTGGATCTTTTGAAGCGGCGGAATGATTTCGGACAAGAACTCGTAACTTTCGCATTGGGCATGACAGAACTCACGCAAATGCCAGGTCGTCAATTCAAGCGAAAGCGAAAGTTGCCACCAGAGCTGAGCCTACGACATAAGCTAATGCGACCACTAATCTCAAACAGACCAAATCAGCTCCTGCTCCTCCCCCACCTTGAAGCCCAAACTTGAGCAGTACTGCGCCAGACGCAGGAACTGCATATGAGGCTCGCGCTGGCAGGTGCAATTGCCCTTACATGTGGACTTTTTGACGCAGCAAAAAGATATCGGACAGGAACTCGTGACTCTCGCATTGGGCATGACAGAGCTCGCGCAACAAGTTACCACCAGAGCTGAAGCTACGAGAAAATCTAATTCGAACACCAATGCCGAACAGACCACATCAGCTGTCGCCTGGGCTTGGCTAAGTTGTCGAAATGAGCCTAGCCGATCAACGCCTCTGGATCTGCATGTGCAGCGACAATCCACGTGGAGACGACGAACGCATGCCACGACTTCGTCGGCCCTGGTTTAGGGCGCACAGGGAACCTCTCAGCCTGAACAGTCCTCTCGCTCGGAGATGCCCAGAAGCCTGAAACCCCGTCTTCTATGCGGATTTCCTGCCGTGGGTTTTCCCGCGGAGCTTCACGGCGACATCGCAATCGAAAACTGTCCAAACTGGCAGCGCAAGCAAAACCGACCGACAACCGCCCGAACTGGCAGCGAACACGAAGCCGACCGAAACCGCATCCGCCGGAACAAGCCAAGCATGACGCAACGACGCGGCAACGACGCAACAGCCGACCGAGCAAAACCCACCGAACGCTCGTGGTCGTTCGTCGTCGCCGTCGGTCGCCGAGACCGTCTCGGCGGTGGCAGCGCCCCTAGAGGCCTTCTTGATGGGGTCGCAGGATCGCGCCGCATCGCCGATACATCGGCGATGCATCGGCGACGTCGGCACGGGGAAACACGGGCTCCACATCGAGCCACATCGCCGATGCATCGGCGATGCGACGCGATCGCCCAACCCCATCTACCCGGACACCATCTAGGAGGCCTAGACATTTCATCGTGCACATCGACAGGCAAGTTTCAGCCGCCACGGCTGCACCAACCAAGTCGCCGAATTACCAGCAGCACGGAAAGCAGGCGCGCGGTGCCACCGAAAGGGCCAGCTGCAGAGAGAGTCTGGAGTATCGAGAAGCCTGACCTACCCTGTTCCTCCTCCATTCAGAAGCCCAGACTTGCGAAATACTGCGTCACACGCAGGAGCTGCATAGGAGGCTCGAGATCGAGCGTGCGCTGGCAGCTTAAGTTGCCTTACGTGTGGATCTTGTGAACAGCGGAATGATATCGGACGGGAACTCGTGACTTTCGCATTGAGTATGACAGAGCTCACGCAAATGCCAGGTCGCCAAGTCAAGCGGAAACGAAAATTACCGCCAGAGCTGAAACTACGAGAGAAGCTAAGGCGAACACCAATGCCAAACAGACCAAAACAGCTGTCGCCTGGGCTTTGGCTAAGTTGTCGAGCTGAGCCTAGCCGATCAACGCATTTGGAGCTGCATATGCAACAGCGGTCCTCGTGGACACGGCGAATGCATGCCGTGACGTCGTCGGCCCTGGTTTAGGGCGCCAAGTGAACCTCTCAACCTGAACAATCCTGTCGCTCGGAGATGCTCGGAAGCTTGAAACCCCGCCTTCTGTGCGGATTTCCTGCCGTGGGTCTTCCCGCGGCCTTTCGCGGCGACAACGCAATCGAAAACTACCCGAACTGGCAGCGAAAGCAAAACCGACCGACAACCGCCCCAACTGGCAACAAACATGAAGCCGACCGAAACCGAATTCACAAAAACAAGCCGAGCATCACACAACGACGCGGCAACGACGCAACAGCCGACCGAGCAGAACCCACCGAGCGCTCGTGGTCGTTCGTCGTCGCCGTCGGTCGCCGAGACCGTCTCGGCGGTGGCGGCGCCCCAAAAGGCCTTCTTGATGTCGTCGCAAGATCAGGCCGCATCGCCGATGCATCGGCGATGCGACGCGATCGTCCGACCCCATCTACTCGGACCCCACCTAGGAGCCCTAGACATTCATACTGCACATCGAAAGGCAAGTTTCAGCCGCCAGGGCCGCGCCAACCGAGTCGCCGAATTACCAGCAGCACGGAAAGCAGGCGCGCGGTGCCACCGAAAGGGCCAGCTGCAGAGAGAGCCTGGAGTATCGGGAGGCCTGACCTACCCTGCTCCTCCTCCATTCAGAAGCCCAGACTTGCGAAGTACTGCGTCACACGCAGGAGCTGCATAGGAGGCTCGAGATCGAGCGTGCGCTGGCAGCTTAAGTTGCCTTACGTGTGGATCTTCTGAACAGCGGAATGATATCGGACGGCCAGGTCGCCAATTCAAGCGAAAGCGAAAATTACCGCCAGAGCTGAAGCTACGAGAGAAACTAACGCGAGCACCAATGCCAAACGTACCAAATCAGCTGTCGCCTAGGCTTGGATAAGTTGTCGAGCTGAGCCTAACCAATCAACGCATCTGGATTTCTATATGCAACGAAAACCCTCGTGGAGACGACAAATGCATGCCGTGACGTCGTCGCCCCTGGTTTAGGGCGCCAAGTGAACCTCTCAGCCTGAACAATCCTCTCGCTCGGAGATGCCCAGAAGCTTGAAGCCCCGTCTTCTGCACGGATTTCCTGCCGTGGGTCTTCCCGCGGTCTTTCACGGCGACAGCGCAATCGAAAACTGTCAGAACTGGTAACGAACATGCCGACCGAAACCAAATCCACTGGAACCAGCCGAAAATGACGCAAGGACGCGGCAACGACGCAACAACCGACCGAGCGGAACCCACCGAGCGCAACCGACAGCAACGCAACAAACAAGTCCTGAAGGAGACGGGGCCCGTGGAGGACCCAGTGAGGGCAAAAAGGCGAGCAGCCTCAGGACCCGTCTCCTTCATGTCGCCTTAGTTTCCAACAGCTCTCGACCCCGCCTCTCGCACGGACTTCGCGCAGTGGTTTTCTTGTGTGCGTGTGCACCCGAACTATACCTGGGGCAGACCTGGTCCAGTTGAGGCCCTGCCCGCGGCCACCGAATGCGAACCAAGAATCGGGTCGAGAACAACCTGGGCAGAAACCCTGGCGCTGAAACGGAAGCCCGAATCAGGAGTTGTCCCCGACCACCCCCCGCCCCGATCACTCGGGGATCTCACGCGCCTGGGAGCTCAGGACGAGCTTGGGGAGGGCGTCAACTCTTGAACGCCCTCGCCAGCCATCGGCGCCACGCCGAGGCGTCGAGAGCCTCCCGCACGGCACGCGTCCAGCGGAGCGCCTGGCCGCACCTGGCCGCGAGAGGGCCGCGCAAGCAGGCGGCAGCCGCCCACAGAGGGAGAGAGAGAGAGAGAGAGGGTGTGGGCGCCTTGCAGGAGCCCCGCGTCGCTCACCATGGAGTGGCACAGCCTCGGTCGTCTGGGAAGAAGGGCCCTCCTGAGGAGGGCCCTTCCTCGACTCTGCGGCCCTCCTGAAAGGGCTCTCCCGAAGAGGGCCCCTCCATGATTCCTCATTCGAAGAGGCCCCGAGGCCCGCCTCCCCACCCGAAGGGGAGAAGGCGGCATACACATACACTTTCGGAGTTCCGCGCAAGTTTTTTGGATCAGCGTTGGATCTCCCGGCGGCGCCCCTGGCGCCGCCCCTGGGTCCAACGCCGATCCAAGAAACTCGTGCGTTTGTTAATGCTGTTATTCTTTTTCTTCTTCGACTCATGGCGACGAGGATGCGCACCCCCTCGGTGGGCCTGCTGTGATCTCGAGGCGCAGTCGGGCCACTGCCATCAAGAACGCCAGAACGGCGGACAAAGCCCCTTCTGGCCTCGAGAGGGCGCCCGGGTGCGCGAGGAGCGCCAGAGCCACCACTGTGGAAGAACCCGAGGACCCGAAACCCTCCCGAGCCCGGCCTGCGCACGCGGATCTCTTGACCTATGTCCCTCCCTCCCTCCCCTCCCTCCCCCCCCTCCCTCCCCCCCTCCCTCCCCCCTCCCTCCCTCCCTCTCCCCCCCCCTCCCTCCCTCCTCCCCTCCTCCTCCTCCCCTCTCCCTCCTCCTCCCTCCCCTCCTCCTCCTCCTCCCTCCCCCCCCCTCCCCCTCCCCCTCCCCCTCCCCCCTCCCCCCTCCCCCTCCCCCTCCCCTCCTCCCCCTCCTCCTCCTCTCCTCCCTCCTCCTCCTCTCCCCTCCCCCCCCCCCTCCTCCCTCCCCCCCCTCCTCCTCGTCCGTAGCCATTTTGGCTCAAGCAGAGGTTTCGGCTCGAGTTGATTTGAGTGAACCTCGAACTTGTGTCCCACGTTTTCGGAACGGCGCGTGGGCACGGGCCAATCTGTGCAACGTGTGTGCGGCCAGACCGCTTTCCTCTTCCGCGGGCATCCCCGCTTCATGGCACCGCCGAATGGCCACGCGCAGAGACGCCAGGAGATGGCGCAGCAGTGGTTGTGTAAGTGGTGCAAGCATCCTGATACTGGGCAGCGTTGGTGGGATCATGCAGACAAGCAGGAGTGTGGGTCCTGCGCGCAGCCCAAGGGCCTGGTCTTCTTCGGCCCAAGGCCCCATCCAGGTGGTTCGCCGTCGGTCTCTGCGAAGCAGAAGGCCTCCGAGGCTGAGCGCTCCACCAAGTCTGCCTTGCAAGAGAAGAACCGAGAGATTGCCAGGCTCAAGGAGCAGCTGGCAGCCAAGAGCGGTCACCCAGACGCCATGGACGTCGACGCCGAGCCCACAGAGCGAGATGCCCAGGCGGCGCTGGCCGAGCTTGCCGCGGCCATCCAGGCGCTCGGGAACCCGACCGACCCGATCCTTGTCAAGGCGAAGCAGGACATGGTGCAGCAGCAAGCTGCTCTTCGTGCGAAGGTGCTGGCCGACAAACCTATTGGGACGAAGCTGCACCTCCTCACCAACAAGTGCTCCGCGCTGGAGAAGAAGCGGGAGCGCCAGCAGACGACGGTCGGGACCCTCAAGGAGCAGCTGGCCGCGGTCCAGAAGCAGATCGTCGAGGCTGAAGCAGCCGTGGAGGCGACCAGCCGCGAGCTCGCGGAGGTGGAGGCCGCGCGGGCCGCAGCTGCGGCACAGGCGCCCTTGCCCGAGCCTGGCGTCCACTCGCTCCGCGCGGCCATCCCGTGCCTCGACGTGGACGTCGGCGCGCTCGGCCAGCTCCTCCAAGGGCTCGGCGCGGACGGCAGCCTCGCTGAGAGTGTTTCGAAGAATTTCGAGGAGCTGCGCAAGTTGGAGCGTGCAGCCGCGGAGCGGGCAGTCGCCGAGCGCTCCGCAGGGGCCGCCGCTAACGCTGGGCCAGGTGGTGAACCGCAGCCCCAGCAGCAGCCTCCTGAGGGCCCAGCAGATGACGATCCGCTCGGTGATGGCCCTGATGACGATGATGATCTGCCGAACCTACAGCCCTCCTGGAGGGAGGCCTTCGATTTCGAGCCCCCTGGGGACGAGGCCCAGCTCCGCGCCGCCATCAAGAGGCTCGGCGGCGAGATCTGCTCGCACCAGAAGAAGGCCAGGACCGAGTAGTCTTTTACTTTGGATGCTTATGGCTGGGAGGTGCCCTGCCACAGCGTGCGATTTCCCCGTCAGGCTGCCCGACTACACTTCTCCGTGGACGGGCGTGAGACTGTCGGCCGGAGGGCCTGCTGGTGATCGCGCAGGCTCCCCGTCCAAGGCCTTTGCTCGATTCGATCGTGAAATACTACAGGCGGTGGGGGCTGGAGGTGGGTCGGATGTGGGGCGAGTGCCACCTGCGCGACGAGAAAAGCCTCCCCATCGCTGAGTTTCGTCAGAACGCCATGATTACGGACGTGTTGCCCCGAGGTCGGAGGACAAGGTCGAAGGATATGCGGTCACTGCGAACACGTCGTCCTTCGGCCCCCTCATCGACCTACTGGGGGCCAATCAGTATGATAAATCAATTCTGTTAGTCCAGGAACCTCATGCGCTGGGGGACAAGCTAGCCGACATTCAGGCTCGGGCGGCTGGTAAAGGGTTTCAGTGGAGCATGGGTCCCTGCGACCCCGGCCGACCGAGGCGGCGCGGCAGGCGGGGTAGTCATCCTGAGTCCTAGCAACGCGCTGGTCGCCGCCCCCCCCAGCTGGGCCCCCCCCATGAAGTGTACCCTGGCAGAGTTGCAGCGGCCAAGGCGCACTGGGGACGGCCGAACGGCATTGTAATGTTGTCTGCATACTTAGTGGTTGACGCTGGAGTTAAGGGGGAGAACATTTGCATCCTCGACGCTGTGGCAAAGTACCTCCACCAGCTCAACACGTTGAATGAGCACTGGATCATCGGGGGGGACTGGAACACTGCCTGCCAGGACCTGGACGCGCGGTTCCACGCAGTCAATGGGATCAGGATTGCCGCCGACCTGCCGACGTGCATCCAGGCCATACCAGGCACTAGTAGGGACTTCTTCTACGTGTCGGAGAGCATGGTGCCGCTGATTCTGGAGGTCGATGTCCCTGCGGGCACCAACCTGCTCCCTCGCCGTCCCGTCGAGCTGGGCGTCGCCACCCAGCCAAGGAGTATGTGCCGCAGGGTCCCAGTTGAGCCCCGTGCGCTTCCTGTCACGCCCAAGATAGGGTCTGGCCGCTTCCCTCCAGTAGCGGAATGGCACATGATCAACAACATGTGCGTGAATGCCCAGACTCCTGATGACTTAATGGTGTGCTGGGATGCGGTTCTCTCAAACCTTGAAGCCGACGCTATGGATCGGAATGATGCTTTGGAGAGTTCCGCGCGCAAGGTCGATCTTGGAAGGGCAGGTTCACCGCAATATGCTTGGAAGGAGGCCAAGTCGGCGAAGCCCAACAAACCGTCTGACCCCAACGCCTGGAAGACCTTGGTGAGATGGCTTCGTTACCTCAGATAGGCTCGTGTTAAGTTGCTGTCACAAGTGGCCAGCCTCCACGAAGGCGGCCTTGAGCACAACCTCGTGTCCATTTCCAAGCAGTTGCATTTCCTGCACGGCTTCGCGCGCAGAGCGGCCGCGACTCAGCGGGTGCTTGAGCGAGTGGCGCCTGAGGACAAGGCTTTCATGTCCGACGTGTCGGGTAGCATCGTCGACCCAAATTCCGACCAAGTGGCCCAGTCCATGATCGACCTCGCAGGTGCCAAGATCCAGGAGCTGTTGTCTGCATCAAGCAGTGAGTGGTCGGACTGGGCGGAAAAGGCTTTCAAGAATGGGGCGCGCGCTGCGCGCTGGTTCTCAAGGGCCAAGGAGTTGCAGGAGCTTGCAGCTGCTGATACCAGGCCTCAGCCTTTCCAGCGCGCAGATGATTGCATTGAGGAGTGGGGCAAGATTTGGAGCATGCATGAGTGTGCCGCAACCCCGATGCCTCAAGGTGCTGACAAGTGGGATAGCTTACCCTCAATCACGGTCACAGACATCCGCCGTGCTGCTGCGTCGTTCCTGTCACGAACGGCGTCGGGGCACTCGGCGTTCAACCCGAAGGCGCTGCTCCAGGTGTCCGACGTCGGCCTGGAGGTCCTTGCGCCCCTGTTCGCGGCATGTGAGAGGATGAACTCATGGCCTGAAGACCGCGTTCACACACGCTTGATTCGGCTTAGTAAGCCAACAGGCGGACACCGCCTCACTGCTCTGCTTAATTCGCTGCTGCGTCTGTGGGGCAAGATCAGGAAGCCAGTCTCGCAAGGGTGGGAACGTTCCCACCGTCACCCATCGTTCTGGGGAAACGGTCCCAGCACCAGCTCCACGGACGCTGCATTCGATCATAACGTGGAGGCGGAGGTGGCGACGGCGGCGGGGGAGCATTCGGTGCGTGTGTTTCTTGACATGTATAAATGCTATGAATGCATTATAGTCCCCCGGATTTTTAACGCGGCGTGCGAGCTAGCGTATCCCTTGAAAGTGATGTGTCTGCTTCTTTTCGTTGTATCGGTGTCCTCGTCTGGTCCAGGCGTTCGGGTATGTGTCGCGTTGCGCTGTTACGCGCCAAGGGGCACTTGCTGGCTGCAGCCGCGCCAATGCGATGATGCATCTGCCCCTTCACCGCGTGATCTGCAAGATGCGCAGGCTCTACTTAACTGTCCAGCCGCGAATCCTCATGGATGACTCGAGCTTCCAGTGGGTTGGCAGGCGGATGTGCGAGTGCAATGTGCTGCTAGCCGCCGTGAGGTGGTATTGCCATCAAGTTTTTCTTTCGGTCTGATTTTGAAGGTTCTCAAGAGTGGGTTTGTAGCTACCGCAGCTAAAGCGTCGTCCAGGGTGTCGTCGTCCGCTCGTATCATCAGACTGCGGAGCTACACCCACATGAGGAACCTGGGCCGCGAAGTCTTCTCGGGGAGACCTCAAAGGGCCCAGGAGAGTGCTAGGCTCAGTAAAGTATTTCGCCGCCGTCCTAAGCTTGCCGCACTGCGTCGCGGTGCTCCAGGGAAGGTACATATGCTCTGGAGGACTGGCTTG